ATTTTAAGACTCTAAATTAATTACATATAATATTATTAAATAATAAATGAATTCAGTTTTAAAGGAAAAGAAAAAACAACGTGGATATGGTAAAAAAATTTCCCACAAATTTTGGAAATCATAGTAAAAAAAAGACGTTTTACACTTTGTTTGGATCATTGTTACCCATTGTTTGTATTATACTCTATTGTGCTATATTGTATGGTTGATACAATGTTTAGCTAGACTGTATTGTTTGTTGTTGTTTAATAACATTATTTTAATTGTTTGGATTGATCGTATTGTACTGTATTATAATTTATAAATTTACTAAAATATCCTAATTATTATAGGGGAAGAGGCTTGATAAGATTCAAATAATTAAGCTACAGGGTAAAATAATATTTTGAAATATTATGTAAATATATAATTGAAAAAAGAAATTAAGTAACAATAGGAACATACCAAATTGGTTGTTCCATAAAATAGGAGTTAATACCTATAATGTGGACAGATAAATGGTTGGCAAGTAAAATGCACAATTCAAGTATATTTTGTTTTACTTAGAAAAGTGATATTTTGGACTGGTAGTCCATAAATCAAAGTATAATGTCAGTAGAGTACAAATAAATTATTATGCGATAGTATAACCGTAAGATATCGAATACGGTTTGTGCCTTGGAGCATAAAGATTTATCGCAAAAATCCTGACATTATTGGAGATGTTTTCTCCTTTGGTGGATGCAATGAAGTTTGTTTTGATCTGACAAAGTATGAAAAACTTGAATGCATGTGATCAATAATTATAATGTCTAGCTAGACAATGAAGGTTATATGAAATCCTTGAAATAATTAAGATGTTTGAAGCATATAAGAGTTTGAAAGAAACTTTTTCAATAAAGCTTCAAGAATCCTTATATGGATTGAAATAGTCAAGGAAGAAAAAGGGTACAAAAGAATGACCCCAATTGTCCTTGTATTTTTGTGAAAAGGTCTTGGTAAGACAAAATTTTGTCTTGACCTACAGATTGATAATTTGACAAATGAAATATTTGTCTAACAGTGCACATACACTGAAAAGTTTTGATGCAATTTTATATGGATAAATCGCATTCATTGAGTACCCCAATGATTATGAGATTATTTGACATAAATGATGATTCAGTTTGATCTTGGTGATGAAACTCTATCTTTGTGTAATCACGGTACTAGTGCATCTTACTAACAATATTTGACCAGATATTTGTTTTGCAGTAAATTTACTGGCAAGATTCAGTTTCTCCCCGATAAAAGGACATTGAAATGGTGTTGAACACATGATTGAATATCCTCGAAGGACCATAGTTATGAGTTTATTCTACTCCGAGGAATCCGAGAAAAAATTGATTGGTTACGCAGATGCAGAATATTTATCTGATCCGTATAAAGCTTTATCTCAAGCACGCTATGTATTTGCATGTGGAGGCACAATAATATCCTGGCGACCAATGAAGCAAATGTTGTTATGCAGAAATAAAAGTCCTCCATGAAGCAAGTCGAAAGTGCGTCTGATTAAGATAAATGACACACCATATTCAAGAAATATGTGGTTTTTCTTTGAAAAAGAATATACCAACCACAATGTACGAAGATTGGAGACATTATCACAAGAAATTAAGTAATGTTTTAATCAGGGGAGTATAATACGCATTGCACTCTTTTTCCCTTGACCGAGGTTTTTTCCCAATGGGTTTTCCTGGCAAGGTTTTTAATGAGGCAACAAATAGTGCGTATCAAAAGATATGTGTACTCTTTTTTCTTCATTAGAATTTTTTCCCACAGGGTTTTTTTTAGTAAGGCTTTAACGAGGTACATTATCTATGGACATCCAAGGGGGAGTGTTATAAATTCATTGAATGAGTGGATAGTCCATAAAGTTGGTACATGAACAACCATGCATGTTCACTAGGTTTATGAACATTTTTAAAATAAGAATGTATCTATTTATTGTGGTACTTAATATGATAACTTTTTGAGTGATTTCTCAACCTATAAATAGGGTTGTCATTCACTATTGTATGATATACATATGAGACTGACATACACTTGAATAAGAAGAAAATTTCCCTTTTTCTATCTACTTCTCTTGTCTTCTTCTCTTTATGATTATATTCTTATAGGCTTGATTTAATAACAATTTTCTCTTAATAAAGTAGACTTATTTATTTGTAAAATCCAAATTAATAATTCAGCCCAAATGAACATGAATCTAATTCAAATTTCATATGAATTTAACCCAACACAATTTATGTATCTACAGTGAAGTTTTTCTCGAATAAGAATGAACTAGACTTTCTCAAATTTTTTGTGATATAATGATATTATGAATATTCCATGAATTCGCAAAATATTCTTGATACCTCTTTAAGAAAATACATCATCCCTTTAAATAGACACAAATTAAAATTTAAGGTAAGAACACATTCCAAGAACAATAACTGAAACAAGATTTGTATTGTTGAATCCTACAAAATTTTAATATCTACCGATGACTTTATGTTTATAACTAGTCAGAAACCATAAGTAACTTTTAATTTATAATTAACCAAAAATCAAACATTAAAATTTCTAATTTCTAATTAATTAATTAGTTAATAATCAAAAGTCGATCAAAATAGACTCTTCATCGTACTACCATCCCTTTACCGGCCCTCCAAAGTAAATAAATGTGTTGGGGGTGGAATGACATTTAAAATTTTCCATATACTATTGAAGATCTAGGTGTATAGTTTGTGTTAGGATCGTATTCACGTACACACACTTGATGAATAAAGAACACAAGAATTTTCAAGAGAAAGAGATGAGAGTTCTAGAGAGAAAGAAAAAACCCAATATTTCGTGGTAACAGCCCGTGAGTAAACTTTTATGGCGGAGGGTATATTTATATTAATAAATCAGAGTATTTTTGGTTACAGAGAATAAATAGTAACACCTAAAATTTAGGTCAGAGCGCTGCCTCGTTCCCCTCCTTCGGATGGGGGGCGCCCTGACAACCTCAACGCAGAGATTAAATCACATAAATAGTTATATATATTAATCAGACTCCACCACCTAACCGTTTGACCATGAACTTTATGGGGTCAAGCTAATGACAGGTAAACTACCACCTGTTTGACTTGTCTTTGAGGGCATGAATAGTGTAATATGGACCCATTCGTGTGTGGAAAAATTGTACAATATTCCAAGAAAAAACGTACCTGTCCACATTAATTAGTTAGGTAAGTGGATTATACTACTCATAAAATATTATATTACAGCCAAAGGAATCCAACTTCTCTAAAATAAAAATAAAAAACACCAAATTAATGTTTGTTTCAATATTTTGATGTACATTACTTTAGAGCAAGTATTAGCAAGATACATTAGGCTATTTTTTGTTTTTTCGGAATCACATCAAGAAATGAAAGATCTTTGGTCACAACATGATGAAGATACATAGTTGAAACTTGAAAGATATAATAGTTTTGATTTTTCGTATTGAAAATTATTCTGCAAATTGATGGATAGCTAGCTAATTCAAAGATGAAGTTGGGAAATATTGAAGGTACGTACTTTATAATATGTTTAGGAAGATATATATAGATATTGATGCGGTTCAATCTGAAAGACATGGTTAGATATGTAATTAGCCTTGTAATTTTGGATTGAGCCGCGTCAATATCTCTCTTCCTATTTTCAATTAGTTTATAAGTAACTTGAACTTTATTTAATTACTCGTTGGTAATACTTGTCTTGTTTCATGTTTTCCTCTTGGCCATGCATCTTTAATGTTTTTTTTTCCACTAATTTTCTGGTTTTTAATTAGTTTTTAAATTTCTTCTTAATTTCATCTTTGACACCATTAATTTCATTCGTTGCCGTTCGTTGATAGACGTTTTTGAATTAGATAGTTAATCATAATTAATACATGAATGAATCGATCAAGAGCTAGCATGGAAATTAATGATTGTGTTGAATGATTTTTTTTTGTATTATTTTTTGCTTCTTAAGGTAATTGCAACCTACTTTTGCTTATATATTTTCTTTTATTATTTGAATTTCGAGGTATTTTCACTACCTCAAATAATTACCTTTCTTCCTGATTTCAATTTTCTTTCATAAAAAAGCGTCTTTCTAAAATAATATTGTCTTTGTCTCAATTTATGTGATTTATTTTGTTTTTTAGTCAATTTCAAAATGAATGACACATTTTTATATTAAGTAATAATATAACTATAAAATATTTAGTTTATCCTTAATGAAATAATTTACAGTCACACAAATTTCGACCATTCATTTTGGATCACAAATTTCAAAAGTCTTCTATTCTTTCTTAAACTCCGTATCAAGTCAAACTATCTCACGTAAAATGAAACGAAGGGGTACTAAGTACTCATAAGTTGAGTAATCATACCAATAATCTAACTCAAATTCTCAAATTGGTTCAGCATCCCGTGAATACGGTCAATCAATCATTTTCTTAATCCCGTTAATATTGAGACATATCTCAGTTTTAACCTTTCCTTTTTGGGTCATATTATCCCTAGTTACACCGGCCAAGTGTCAAGTCAACACTTATCATTAAAAATAATCAAAGACTTAATGTTTATGTATTCACGATTTTAGCTAATTATTTGGAGTATTCAATATGCTTTTTATGATAAATAATACTATAAAAATGTGACTAAAGCTAGTACATCTATCAAGTCTATAATCTATACTCTAGCTTCACCCTGGTCCTTCAATTTCTTTGTATTTCTATATACAATATTGTTATTTTTTCAGTCTACTTAAAGAAACACAACTTCATATTTGAAAACACAACTAAATCAGTTTTTGAGATGACTTAGTTTATTTGGAGGGTGATTATCACACGAATAATCTGGAATCGATCGTCTCAATACTTTTGAGTCGAGCATGTGCACACAAAATGCTCACCCAAAAGATAGATGCTAGGTCAAAGATTATAGCGATTGTGGGTTATCCTGAGGTTAATAAAAAAACACAATTAAATCAAGCATAAAATTATTGACATAAACATATTTTAATGGAAATAAGTTAAATTTTTCGTTTTCATTTTTTTGGGAAGTAGTAGGACAGGTGGATGGCTAGAGACTTGATGATTTCAACTATGATGGTCAATAGGTTCATATTCACTTTTCTAATTAGCGTGAAATTATGGTTGGTAGGTAATAGATATATCGTTAAAATAAAATTCACATATTCAAAATTTAAATGATGCGCCAGATAAATTAAATGAAGAGAATATAATTGAATAATAATTACGTGAAGGGCTATGACGTTAATGAAGCATCATCGACGCATCATGTTTTGCCATGAAATAACTTTGGGTTTAATTGGAATGATAAAAATATGTATCTACGTGTTTTATTAAATCCATAATTGGAATGATTAAAATATGTACCTACGTGTTTTATTAAATCCAATTAAATAATTTTTGACAGATGACAAAAACTTCAAAATCACAAGTCCCACTTTTGAGAAATACGTCTGGATATGGAGACATATCTATTTTTGTTAGTATTCAGTATTCACCATTTTATATTTCCTTTTCGAGATTTCTTTTTACATGGATATAGACCATAATAGTATCTTACTTCCACCAAGATTTTTTTTTCCTTAATACATACTTCCTCCGTTTCAAAACAAGATTTATTATTTCCTTTTCCTTCGTTTCAAAATAATTATCATACATACGTCCTTTCAGAAAAGTATTACTAATTAGAAGTGATGTCTAGCAATTGTACACGTCCTTTTAAGATATAATCTTTGTTCATCAAATATTGATTTTATTTTGCATAGCACATCTCTAACACAAAATTGTACAAGAGAGAGTTGCTAGGGTAAACAATATATCCTCACTTGTTGAGGGTTCGAGTCCCAAAAAAAGCATAAAGGGTAGGAGCTACTTTCAATTCCGTTGAACTGAACAGCTCTTTATCTACTAGTCATATCTAGTAGAATTCACAAGTTAATATGCATAATACATTTACTTAATTTACTCTAGTACAAACACGAGATTTAATATATATATTTTGAATTCACCTGAACCCACCAAAGCTCCATAGGATTAAGTCTGATCCTCAATTAATCCACTTTTATATGTGGAGATAGGAGAGATTCTGGATAAACATATTTCTGTAATCCAGTTACATCCAAAAGTATCTTACTAGGGGACTCGGTTGCTGGTTTCCCTGGCCCCGGGATCAAGAACCAATGTTGGAACCAATCTACAACCTCGGGAAAAAAAAGTACGTACACGAAAAATGCCTTGAACCACGGTGGCTCCATTAGGTACTTGTCTCCACGACATGCACTATTCACTATTGACCTTGCACTCTTCTCCACTGGCAATATTGGAGTCACGCTCATTTCAACCTGGCAACAATCACAATCACAACAATCGTAAAAGTACACGCCTCACTCATACCATAAACGGTAGATGAGGTGATCACACAACCCAGACACAATGACATCCATAATATACAAACCAAAAGAAGCAGCAACTTACATCTCTCATTACTTGGTCTACTTCCAACTTGCCTTCGGTTGTGAGAAATTTGCCTTTAGTCATCTCGGATTCGGTTAGTCCTGGATTAACAATCGTAATCCCAATTCGCGCCCCAAGTTCTACCCTCAACGTCTCGAAGAAACTAATCAATGCAGCTTTACTTGCCTAAAGCAACACCAATATTAACATCGATGAAAATCAACTTGGCATAAAAAAAAAATGAAACTGATCAGTCATAGCAAAATCAATATACATTATAGAAGCTGATTCTGGCTGCAGGTAAATAACCAGCTGACGAAGTGATCGCTACGATTTTGCCCTTGGTTTCCTTCAAATAGGGAATTGCAAAATGCATAGTATAAACTGCACCCCAGAAATTTATGTCCTGAAACGTATAACTAATCCTGTTCTGTTATCCAAAATGTTCATAAATCAAACAAACTTGGAGACACATATACAATTATACCATTGCAGGTGCAGCATTTGTGACATCTACAAGGTCCTCAAACATGTATAGAGGCGTCACAGCAGCATTACTCACCAGATGATCCACTACACAAAAATTAGCAATGATCATTTTCACTTGAAACATAATTGACTCGATAAAATTGTTGGAGGTTTAATTTATTCGTTTTCTATACTTACATCTACCAAAATTGGTTATGGTTTCGTTGATTAATCGCTTGCAATCTTCAACTTTGGATACATCAGCATGTACAGAGATAACATGTGGAGATCCAAGCCAATAGGCCATATCAGCTACTTGTTCAAGACTCTTGTGCCTTCGTGCCGCAAGAACTAAACGTGCACCTTTTTTAGCATATTCATAGGCTAAATGCTTCAATTACATAACAAACTCAAATTAATCAAAAAAATCCTTGCAAATAAGTTTTTTCTGAAAAGGACATATTGATGATTAATCTAGCAAAGAATTAAGTTATATATACCTAGGCGTGGCAAAATCAAACCCAAATCGGCCTAACCCGACCCAACCCATTTAGGTTTAGGTTTGAGTTGGTTATTGACTGTCCATTTCATAGTTCAATTTATTTCAACCCATTTTAATGGGTTGACATGTAACCTGAATCGATTTTCGAGAAATCTTTGTCAAAATATTTTTTCCAAGAAATTATTTTATATATTATATAAAACTATAATAAAGATGTTTTTTTAGTTAAGTACTTAATATTTATAAAATAACAAATAAAACTATCAAAACCTAGTTAAATTGAACAGATTAGGTTATGACGTGTTACTAACATGTTCACTAATTCATCTTGACCAAAAGAAATTTGGATAAGATTGGGTCTTGACCCATTTTGACCCGCTCAAATTACCCCAACCAATTATCACCCCTATATATAAAACTAGATAACCGAAGGCCCGTATACGGGCCCAATATAATTACCTACAAATTTAGTATCAATTTTTCATAGAGAAATTTTAAGTGTTTACTTTTATTTTTTATTATTTTTAAATAATAATTTTTTTAACAAAAACATGAAATCAAATTTGATCAACATTCTTTTCCCCAATCAAACTTTTTGGGTAAATAAAGTAATATAATAATGTAGATTAATTCAAAAACAAATTTCACGCTTGGTAATACTCATGATTTAGAATTTAAGTTTTCTTTTTACTATTGCATACTGATATAAATTTAAAGATTTTAAAATAATTTATTTTTATATTAAATTGTTATGTGTAATTTTCTTAAATATCTTTACTTTAATTTATTTTTTCACAAGTAAAAATTAGAATTAAGAAGTGCATCTCATTATTACATGAAGCTCAACGTGGAATATATCTTAAATAATAAGAGAAAAATGATTAGTAATTAATATAACACACTATTTTCTTTATATTCTGTTTCTCATGTAGAATGATATATTGCGTTAATATTTTTCTTTTCTAAATTCATATCAAAATTATATTTTCTTCGTCTTAATTAGTTTTTCTTATTTTTTTAAAAAATACTTTATATATTTATAAATTATGTAAAATATGTAATTATAATAATTAGAAATTTATAATAGTTACATGACATATAAAAAAATTAGGTTGACTCTCAAAATTTTATTAATGACACGTAAACGAAGACATGCAAAATAACATATATTATTTGAAATGATATAAAAATATTATAAATCACAATAATTAA